TATATATAATTCTGGTTTTATGCCCTAGAAATCAACAGAATTTTCTGTCTTGGAGAGTGAAAGAAAGAAGACAAAGAGCAAGAAAAGAAAAAAAGAAGACTTTTCAGATGTAGATGGGGAAATTCATTCCATGTTACTTAAGAAAGGTAAGAACTTATTTTTGGTGTGTTACTCCAAACAGAGAGATGGTATTTGACAGTGGAATCTGTTACCAGAGAAGTGTTTTCTGAGTTGCAGAGAAGTGACCTCAATCATATTTTTAAGAAATGTAGCCTTAAAGTTGTACTAAAAATATAGTCTAGTCCTGTGTCTACTATTAAAGAATAATACTACTCCATGTACTAAGCTAATTGTTTAGGCTGACTACCTTTCTGTTTGGTGTCAGAACTGCTATTACACCACGTCTAAATTTGCATGACTTTCCCTCCTTAACAGTGAGAAGTAAGGGACCAGAGCTTTATCATCCTTCAGTGAAATTTGAGGATGTAGGAGGCAATGATGAAACTTTAAAGGTTAGTTAAAGTTTTATTCCTGCCATACAGAATGCACTGAATAAAATGTCACATGGGAAATGACGAAGAAGAAATGTTGCAGAATTCATCTGTGTGGCACTGGGAATGGATGCTTATACCAACAGCTACAAAGTTGGGGTTTTGCCTGTGATTAATCTTTCTGTAAGCAGCCACTGAAATCAGAATAATAAACAGAATTTGCTTTATTTTGCCCTTTCTGTAATAGTAGCAATCTATAATACTAATATCTGCCATTTAAATGGAGATTTCTCATGTTCTTAACAGGAGATATGCAAGATGCTCATTCACATCCGTCATCCCGAAATCTATAACCACTTAGGTGTGGTTCCACCTCGTGGTTTTCTTCTACATGGGCCACCAGGATGTGGAAAGACATTACTTGCACAGGCAATTGCTGGGGTGAGATAGCTTTACATTTACAGCTTCTTCCTTTTCTGAATTATATTTAGTTGGAAAGTAAATAATCCTCCTTTGTGGCAGACTAGGTCTTTCAGCTTCTTTATCCTTCATGTGATAGTCTGAAATGCATTAATCTTCACTTCCTTTGTTTGAATTACATCTGAATCTGTACTTGATAGAAGCTCATATATAAAGAAGAGACATAGTGACAGTGACATGTTTGACTTAATTGTTTTGAGCTATTTCCATGGGAGTTGAGAAGGCTATAAATGGAAGATACTTCTGGTTAAATTTACCATAGTGTTTCAAGTCTAAGCTCAACCTCACCACCTTTTATGAGGCATTATATTGATTCTATTGTGTGGCATCTGTTAAACAGAGATTCCTGAATTCCAGAACTGGATGTTGCCTTGCCTGTGTCAAACTGATGTTTTCATAGTGTATGGCATTATTGGTGTTAATAGTTGGGGCATGTGGTGAGGCTGCTGTACCAGCTGTGCCTGTTTTGGATGTATGTCTGGGGCCTATTTAGGACTCTTCAGTGATAACTATGAACATTTTGCTTTCTTTAATACAGTTGTTCCATAAACATCACAGATTATAACCTTAAATATAGATACATATAAATTATGAACTTTTGTAGTGCAGATAAAAAATTGCTGATGCTTATTCCTTGAATGTTGGTTACACCCTTCTGACGTTATGTTTCAAATGTTTTAGTTAAGGAAATTTGGATGTTTTCTTTCTAATGCCTTGTTGTAAAAAGGTACCCATTGAATGAGTCTGTGATATTTAGTACTTCAGTGGGTATTTGTATCCTGGAAGGATACTACATTTGGGAAGAGAGAAACAGGACACAATTGAAAAATTTTCAGAGATGAAATAAATTTAATGGCTATTTCTTAAATATCTTTTCTTAAAGAAGAGATTTTTAATAGTGCTATTTAAGGCAAATTATCTTCTTTAAGCACCATGATTTGTGTATATTGGGATTATTTTTCTTTTATATGTAATTCAATGAAATAGGCTGCAACTAAACATTGCACTACTGTGCTACAGCCATGCACTACTGTGCTACAGTCTATCAGAGTTGCAATTGTATTCATTTATTTGTAATGGTAGAAAACCTTGAGTGTGAGCTTTACAAGTATCTTACTGTACAGTCCTGCTCAGACTAAAGGAACCAAACCTGGTGGGGGTTATCTTCCACACTGCTAAACAATGCTTTGTTGCACATGGAAATAGACCATTTTCTCAAGAAGGGAGCCCAAGCATGAACTGAAATATATATTTTGTGAAAGATAGGGTTGGGGACCAAGGTGAAAAGCTATTTGACAGTGCAGTCATTCTCTAACTGAATTAGGGAAACCTGTTTTTTCTATCCGTTTGTATTCACTTGGCCAAATGGTTCAGACCTGTTTTAAGTTGAATAATGTTACTTGTATTTTCTAAAAGCTCATGAAGATTTAGTCTTGATTACATTATTTGTAGGTGTAAAAGATATCATATTGGAAAATATTTGGCCTCAAGGGCAGTCAGCATTTCTAACCTCTGGATGTATCATACCGTGTTCCTTGTCTCTTTCAGGAACTTGAGCTCCCGATGTTGAAAGTGGCGGCAACAGAGATTGTGTCTGGAGTATCAGGGGAATCTGAGCAGAAACTCAGAGATTTGTTTGAGCAGGCTGTGGTGAGACACCCATTGGGACTAACACTGTGAATTGTTTGTCTTTCTCTTTGTAAAGATTCATACTTTCATGCTGTGATTTGAATTTGAGTGAATATTAGTGATGAGTGAATCTTTATCTTGCTGCACACATGACTTGTCTCCCCTTCCGTAACCAGAATTCCATTGTACTGTCATGATGTCATGGAGCACAAAGCTTACTGTTCTCATGTCTTGACAAAAGATAGTTAGTTCTTCATAGCAATGTAAAGAGAGCAACACAAATTATTTACATATTTGGAGCTACTTGACTCGATATAGAAGGACAAAATTTATGTAAGAGCAATTAATTGTGCTTTTTTATTACAAGGGAGATTTACTGGTTTTGTATGGCACAGAATTTGAGTGGATGTGAGAGACTTTAGGCTTTGAGGGTCTAGATATAAAGTAGGAAATTTCAAACAGATATTACAAGAACAGCCATCAAGTTACAGTTGAAGTCTTGCTTTGGTGTGACTTCCTGACATAGTAAGAGGCAGAGAGTGAGACAGATTAAGGTAATTTTAATTTAAACAAGTGAACATTTTTCTGTTGTTTAGTATGTGGCTAACATTTTATTTCGTAAGGACAGTTTCCTGTTGCTGACCTCTGAGAATATTCTGGCTTTCCAAATTTGTTCCACTTTTCAACTCTTCCGCCACAACTGTATATAGGTATTTAGAGTATGTTCCTGTAAAAAAGAATGCTAAACTGGGCAAAAAGATTGATTGTGAAGCTGTTATTTTATCATGTTTCCAGCTCATATGACATTTTAAGTTTTAGAGAACCTCGTGAAGATGTTCCTTAGAGTAAAACTACATAGGTTATATATGCGTATAGGTTCGTATGTGTAGTGGTTAAGGGGAGGTTGCACTAAAAATTACACGTATGGCAAAAAATACGCGCAAAAATAAAATCTGTTGCCTTTCTCTGCCAGATAGCGCCACTAGATGGCGCAGCTGGTGACCGAGAGCAACCAGTGCGTGGGGTGTGCAGCAGCACTGTTTTATATGGGACGACTTTGGAGATGATTCATGGCGTTTCCTTAAGCTTTCCTTTGCGCTACTCGTGCTTTCCGACAACATTAATAACCTATTCTATTAGTTACACTACGTGGACTTTTAGAACATTTGTCAGAATTTCTCACTGCTCATTTTCACTCTTTGTACATGGTCAGGCACTGCAGTAGTCTTGAAGTTACATGTCCACTTATTGTTCATTTTGTTTCATTATGTGTGTCAGAAATACTAGCTTTTGAAATTCCACAGTTCTAAAGTTACTAACAAAGCAAACAAAAGACCAAAACAGACCTTTCTAGTGTGATTCTCTTTTATGGACTTAAGCAAGTAGGCAGTCACAATGAAATATTTATGGAAAACATAGAGAGGGATATTTAAACTTTAAACAGTGTGTAGAGGCATTTTGAATCTCATGCCATAGTTGTTCCATAGCTTCAGCTCAGTGCAGTTTCATAGTCTGGTGTCTCTCCAGATAGTCAGCAAGAACAACAGAATTGTTATAGGACATGTTGATTGTGCAGCAGATCAACATTAATAATTATAGGTCAGAAAATGTGAAAAAATTATTTCTCTCTTGTAATACACTGTGTCAGTGTAATTTCATAATTACTAATATTGCTTATTTCTAGTCCAGTGCACCATGTGTCCTTTTCATTGATGAGATTGATGCAATCACCCCAAAAAGAGAAGTTGCATCGAAGGACATGGAGCGGAGGATTGTTGCTCAGTTCCTGACTTGTATGGATGGTCAGTTTTAGCAGCATCTGTGCTAAGCCAAAATTTCTCATTATCAGGCTCACTGTCTGCTTTCCTTTTAGAAGTGAATTGGGGTTACTTTAGAGGAGATAATGGTGGTAATTTTTCATATTTTGACACAGTTTGCCTGAGGAATGGTGGGAAGATAGTAACAAATTTGAGGGGGTGTTACTACGTTATTTTCAGTGGTCTGTACAGCATTATATAAGGCTGTTTGTATAAACAGAAATAATAAGAAAAATCTGTCAAACTTCATTTGAAATGCTTATTTTAGCTTCATTGTGCAAAATGCCAATTTTAGGTAATATAAATAAGGATGGACAGTAGTTTAGTATGACTGTTTAGTTCATCTGTGCTGAGTATTATTGTGTGCTGAAGAAACAGAGTCCCGTAGATATCGGAACAAAGTTGGGACAGTGAGTATGAGTACTAACTAACTTCCTTCCTTCCTTCCTTCCTTTAGACTTGAATAATGTGGCTGCCACTACCCAGGTCCTTGTTATTGGAGCAACAAACAGACCTGACTCACTGGACCCTGCACTGAGGAGAGCTGGGAGATTTGATCGAGAAATCTGTTTGGGAATCCCAGATGAAGGGGCAAGAGAAAAGTATGTTGTTCTGGTTTGAAAGCAAACCAGTGAGAAACTCCAAGTCAGAAATATAATTTAATAAGGAAAAATAAACCAGTAAATGCAACAGTACAAAAAGCAACCACTGTCAGAGTCAGAAAGCAACCTGACACCCTGTCAGTCAGGGTGTTGGTAGTAGTCCAATGAAATGGTGGCTGCAGTCCTCCTGGAGTGATGGGTCTGTTGGAGCAGTGATCCCGCAGATCCGCTCCTCACCTGAAGGTCCAGTGGTAGCTCTTGTCCTCTGGGAATCCAGCAGGCAAAGGACTCTGTGCTGGTCCAAACCCCAGATTATATCCAGGTGGGAATGCTAGGATCCCCCCCCTTGGGGTGAAGCGTCTCACAGTGGGAAGATGTAATTCTATGGGGCATGCCTGGGTCCCTGACAGCCCATTAAACAGAGACAGCCCCTGAGGGAGCCATCAGGGATGAGTAGGAGGTAATGAGCACTGCCCTCACCTGCTTTAACAGCCTGTGGAGATGATAAATCGTAACATAGGACATATGTGTTGTGAAGTTTGAGCTTCTTTTTGATTCATTAATAATTAGTGAAATAATGTGTAAATTAGCATACAAATTAAGGAAATTATTGTGTTTAGTCCTATTTGTGCCTGTACACACCTACGGATCAACACACACTGAAAGGTGCTGATCCACTCTTTGTCTTGGTTGCTGTGTCTACATTTGGAGTGGTTTCCTTTCTTGAATGCTTTTAGCATTATGTTACTGGATTTTCAAGAACTTTAACAGTTCCTTTTCAGAAAGATAACATTCTGTCTTTGGTACTCCCTATGCAACTCTTAAATTAGGTAAATAAATTAAATATAGCCCATTTGTTAGTCCTCTTAAGCACATACCTTAAGCATCAGGCCTAGATTCTTGTGTTCTATTCCTCATGGAAATACACCAGTCCAGGTATTCAGCTGAGCTGCAGTCATCTTGTGTAACTGGCCCTTTTTATGCTGAAGATAAAAAGGTTGATATACTGAAGACTGTCAGAGTAGGTTAAAAGAAATGAATCTATTTTTGTTTTTTTAATTAAAAAGGAACTGCTACTCATTTCCACAGAGCAGAAAACACAGGAAGGGAAGTTTGAAAACAGCTGTGGCTTATCTTGTTACATAAAGGAAAGAAAGGTTAAAGGCTGAGTTCCTTCTAGCTCAGCTAATCATATTTCTAAACTGAAAAAGCAAACTTCTTCTTGCACTATCGCTCGCTTTGTGGTTTTGGTACTCTGGCTATTATTTCACCCTGGGATTTTTTCCCTTTCTGGTCATACCTCCTGGTTGGTTTTTTCCCCACTCTTCCCTTCTTCCTCCAGATCTACAGCCCTGTAGTAATTCTGTTCCTCTTGGTTGTGGGAAAACATGGAGATGGTTAGAGGTAGAACTAAAGAGTTGACTGATGAGAGTTCTGATTCTATGATAATACTTAGGATCATGTTAAAATATTGTATTCACAGAAATTGCACTGTTTCCAAGGACAGGAGTTGTGGGTAGCAGTAGAGATTGTGTGGAGATTGTTTACAGGTTAGAGTGTTGTCACATTCATTCATATTACTGTTTTGTGCAATTGTGTGTTTGTATTTGTGTTCCTGTAGGTGTAGGCTTACAGGAACTGTTGATATTGTTTTCTTTTTTTAAATTATCCCTCCCCACTGCTCTGCTGTTTAGTTCCGGATTTGGGGTGGTTTTTGTTGGGGCAGGGGTTGTTCCTTTTCTTAAAATGAAAAGGTCATAGAGAAACAGAAGTCCTTATAGTGTGCTGATTTCCCACAGGATAAATGAGCCTTGCTGAAGGCAGGATTGGAACTGCTTAGGTGTGGTTTTGCAGCCTTGAGGGTGTGGAGTAGAATGAGGAGGTGTACCTGGACATCTGACTTTACTTGCGGTGTTTTCTTGTGCATGTATGAAACAAGTGAAAGAAAACAATATATGCAGGACACAAATTCAGAACGAGCCACTTATAGTTCTTAACTTCTTACACTTTGAGTCAGTTGATTAGCTACAGCTGTTGTCAGATAGGCTGAAAAATTCTTAAGGACAAAGTTAATATCACTAATAAAGATCTAAAGGAGAAATGATGGAACCTGTTAGTGGGGGAGGCAAACAGATGAAATGTTTTGAATGGTTTAATCGCCTGTTTTTTTCATAACTTTTCGGTAGTTACATTACTTGATCTGGTAATAATTTAAAATAGTTTTCATTGGAACTTGGAAAGAATGTTACTGATCTTCACACGTCTTTGGTTTCTGCTGCCTTTTTAAAATATTTTCCCAATGAAGTGATCAATTGCTCTTTTAAACAAGTTGATTTCATCCTCCTGTTCAAGAGTCCTTCAGCACCAATGTTTGTGAAGTGACATTGGCTTTTGTCTTTTTTTTTTTTTTATTAGTGATGTAGTTTTCAGTTATCTTTGGCTTAGAAGGTCTTGGACCTTGAAGGAGATTTTTAAAGCTTTAGCCTTGATAGAGAGTGAAAAAACTCCCATTATAAAAAGAAGTGTGAAGTGTAGCACTTCAATGTCAGTTACACGGAACTGTTATATATTAGTGAGGGAACTGCATAAGTAGGTGTAACTTAAGCTTTAGAATGAGCATGTGGTAACACACAAGGTGTACACATAAGCTGTGTGTTGCCTATTGGAAATTTTACTGGGGATACAGGAACTACCTGCACTTATATTCCACTGACAGTGCTCAGGGAAAGATACTGAAGATCAAAAGACAGAGCTCCTCACCAGTCTGATTTCATTTGCTCCTTGCAGAAAAGTTCGTTGTGGATGTTCTTCAATAAATAAATGCGGGATGGAACAGACAGTGCAGACTAAGGTTATTACGAATATAAGATTAAATATCTCACTGGAGAACTTGTATGCTTCTCTGTGGTACACTCTGAGGTCTATTCTGTCAAATTTGAATCATAAACTAAGGTTTAAAGAATATATAATGCTTTGATTCATCAAAACTAGCTTTTACATACTGATTGGCATTGCCTGGTCAATGCTGTTGGGTTTTGTTTAAGAAGCAGAGGGAGGTATATTGCATGATTTTGTGGGTTTCAGTGTTGGTTACTTACTAGATGAGTGAGAACTGTTTCCACTGTACTGCTTCAAGTCATCTGGGCTGAAAGAGACCTTGAATCAATGCTGTTTATTTTGACTTTAAAGTAAAATGCTACAGCTTCATCTTTTTTTTTCTCCCTACTTGATTAGAATTCTTCAGACTTTGTGTCGAAAACTGAAGCTCACAGAGTCCTTTGAATTTCGCCATCTAGCACGGCTGACCCCAGGTTATGTGGGGGCTGATCTGATGGCACTGTGTCGTGAGGCAGCTATGTGCACAGTGAACAGGGTCCTGATAAAATCTGAGGAGCAGAGAAGGAAACATGGACACATTGGAGGAAACACAGCTGATGAGAGCGTGGGAATAGGAACAGACATCCTGATGGAAGAGGGCACCAAACAACTAGAACTTCTTCCTAAGGTATTTGTTCCTTGAAGTATGTACTTCTAATATCTTAAGAATTGAGCCATTTTATTGTTATGAAAGTCATTGCTCATAAATTCTCAAACATCTATGGTCAATGTAATATTAAATTTAGATTCAGAGATGTCAGCTTGTAAGCCAGGAGCTTAACTCCTAATGAGTCTGGATAAATGGCTCCCAAAACCTAGAACTCCTAAAAACCATGTTCATGTTTTATACAAGTTGTAGTTTTCCCTTGGATTTTTCTTGGTTGTTTGTGTTGTGTTGTTTTATTTTCTAGCAGACCAGAGGTTTATAAGAGTAGCTGTGTATCTTGTAAGAATATGAGACTTGCACTGAGCTTTTTGCACAATCTGTCTGCTATGCAGTCAATAAGATATCCATTATGATGTCTGAGGCTCTTCCCTGACCAGGTGGGGTTACAGTAAGCCAAAGTCTAAAAGTATTTACGCAGACCAGCTATGTGATTACTTGAGGTAAATCACATGCAGTGTCTAGCATTGTTCTGCCAATTGACAGGGTAACAGAAAGAATGTAGACACCAACAGAAAGAATAGGCTTGTTTCACTACTGGTGTTTTAAGATAATAGAAAAATGATAATATATTTACATGTAAGGTTAGTTAAGAAAGCTCTAATACAAACAGCACAAACAACAAAGACAATAAGAAAGGTAATGCACCTAATTATTACTACATGCAGGAAAGAATAGCGATTAAGAAAGAGACATCACCAATTGCCCGAATACTTTATCAGCATCGAGATCCGCAGTCGCTGGGGAGCCCCTGGTTGCAACAAGGGTTTGGAGAACCTTTCCCAGCAATTGGGAAGTCCTACACAGTGCGTCCACTTGTAGGTGAGGGGTCCAAAGTCGATGCAAGAGGGTCCAACTTTTATAGGCCAAATTAGCAAGTGAAAAATAACTTGCAGTTTCTTACCGTTTGTGCAGATAACACCTGGTGGTACTCCCCTCCGACCAACCAAGATCAGGGCTTGGCCAGAGCCCAAATGGAGTTTCCTAAGACACGTTATAGACAGGGCATGACCTTGGCAATACTTCAATTGGCAATTATATAACCAGTACCTAACTTATCTCTAAAATTTAATTTTGCAGAAGGCGCCATGGCCTTGGGCAGGCATATAGCCTATACAAGGGTCATCTATAAGATGTCTTCCAGGAAGCATGGCCTAGGACAGACACAGAGCCTATGCAAAGGTTATCTGCATCTATGTTCTACATTAAATGGTCTAGTTAACTAACACAAAGAATCACTGTTCTCAAGGAATACAGGATTCGTCTATAAGTGAACTCTGGCTTGGTCCTACTGTCCAAGCCCTAGCATTTCAAACACCTGGAGCAAGTTTGAGGAAGAGATGAGCTGCTTACGTGAAGTACAACTACAAGTCTGTTGCAGAAAACAGCATTTCTAGTGCTAGAATTATTCTGTGCACCAAGTAACATGATGTGATTAGTGAACCAGAACAACTTTGTATAAAAATTTTTGGCCCTGCTTCTCAAAATTTGGAGTCTGTATGTGCCTTTGTTATGTGCAGCCTTCCTAAAGACTTGTCTGGAGAAGTAAAACAAAGTGGACTTAAACCTATATTGCACTCAAATTCTGTTTTTAGAGGGACTGTCAAAGAAAGCTGTTGTTGTAATTACACAAATCAGTGTAAAAAGCTGTAGTAAGCCTTTGTATTAGAGTAACATAACCACACTGCATACCTCCCAGTGTTTCCTGGGGCCTGGTGTAGCAAAAAGAAAGAGGGGAGGGGCAGGTAGTTGCAGCTTTTATCAACATCACCATGATCAAAGGGGTCATTGAGAATGAGGAAGTCTAATCCTAACAAAGCCATGTTTTGATAGCTGGCAGGAGGTTGACATAGTCTAATACAGGGTATTGTCATTAAAACAGTTATATTATGTTTATAATGGAAAAATAAACATACAAAACCTTTAAAAATCATTCACACAATTTAAGTAAACAAACCCAGTGGTCTTGGCTATTTCAGAGTTTCTCTGAATGGTTCTGTTAAGAAGAGGAGGGAGGGCTTAAAAGGAGTATCAGGCACTATAACTAGTTCTGTTTCTCTGTGGTCAGTTGTAGAGCTATCCTAGCTGAAATTAATGGGAAATGATACATGTCCCATATACTGCTGTAGGAAAAATGTGGAAAGTTTTTACTTTGTTTATATTCTCTATATCTCATAATGAAAATCCTGGTATCATTTTACTTGTGGTGCAGCACCAATTTTCTATGATACTGCCTTTCTGTATTAGAACTGTGATGTTTTTGTGTTGTGAAGGTATAAAGTTCTTTAATCAAGTGTTTTCTGTGATAGTTTCTCCAATGAGGATCTGATTGAAGAAGCTGGAACACACCTCCCTGGGGCACTGTGGTCTGCAAGACAGGACAGTGTTCAAAAGTGTTACCCTGCATCTATTCTGTTTGCCTAAACTTTATCAGGCCCTAGTTGCAAAACTTGAAGTCAGATTATGTTTAATAAAAGTGTATATTCTAAAAGTGTGTTAAGAGTTTTAAAGGTTCATATGTAACAGAATATTGCACAAATTGTTGAAATGGTGCAGTTCAGAGTTTTTAGTTTCTCTTGAAAGCGATTTCTTGTTGAAAACAGAGTTAATACATATTTTGGAAATTTCAGCATGGAAAGAACTTTCCTCCTAATCAGTGCGGGAGAAGCAGGAGGAATTACCAGAAGACAAAATACATGTGCTGGCTCAGAATCTGTAGTATCTAAATCAAGACTCAGCTCAGTTCTTTCACATGTGTTAAATGTACATAGGGCTTTCCTGGAACACTTTGATCGTTAATGGTCCTTAATGTATTTTATATATTGTACATAATGATCTGGTTTATAGCTGAAGAAAGTGTTTCTTTCAAAAAGCCATTAAAAATTGTTCTGAAAGTCCAATCCTGTGCATAATCTTTCTCTCTGCTTTTCCATGTACCCTAAGGATGAATTGCAGAGACTTTTGGATTTGCTGAAGAAGCAAGACCCCTTGCCTGAGGAGCATCTGCAGAAGCTGTGCATTGAGATGAATGATTTTATTGTTGCACTGTCATCAGTGCAGCCCTCTGCCAAGAGAGAAGGCTTTGTCACAATTCCTGATGTGACATGGGCAGATATTGGAGCCTTGGAAGATGTTCGGGAGGAGCTGACTATGGCTATATTGGTATGTCTTAACCTTACTTTCCAAGATTGCTTGCACTTGCCCCGATGTAGGAAATAAAACTATGTTTGTTCTTAATATTTATTTAAGCTATAAGGGTCTGCCCATGAGTTACAGCATGCAGCAATTTTGCTGTTGCTAGAAATTGCTAGAAATTTTGCAATATCTTTTTTTAAAATAGTCAGGCCTCTGTAGTTTGTTTTAAACTTTGTTACAAGCCTGCATGTATTTAACATTTCACTTTTTGTATTCGCGTTTTCAGTGTGTTCATATTGCTCAATCTTTAAGTATTCTAAAAGTTTTGTGCCAAGAACCTCAGTTACACAACTGCCACACAAAGAATTGGACACTACTTAGCTGGAAGCTTATCAGCCTTTCTGCCAGTCTTAACACTAACACCTTAAGATGAGAACTCAGATTTTAAAAAATCTTTGTCTCTGAATATTGATACTTTGATCCCATAATCAAATGATGCCATAATGATATCCGAAATGGGATAATGATCCCATTTTGAGGTACATATCAGTACAAGATAATAAGATGCTGATCAACTCTTTATTCTTTTAGCTTATAAAGAATGGGAATAAAGAACTTGTTTATCAATGTTTTTTCATCCAGCTGCAACTGAAATGTTTCGTGTTAGCTTTATGTCACAGATAACTATGATAATTTATTTTCAGGCACCTGTGCAAAACCCAGAGCAGTTTAAAGCTCTAGGCCTGACTACTCCAGCTGGTGTCCTGCTTGCAGGGCCTCCAGGGTGTGGCAAAACATTGTTGGCTAAGGTAATGCATTTTCTAAACATGATTAAAAATTATGGAGAATCTTCTTGAAGTGTGAAGCTGGAGAAAGTGTGTGTGTATATATATATGTGTGTGTGTGTGTATACAAAGAGATATATACATAAAAAGAACCTTCTTGAATATTGTTGTAGGAGTGACTGAGTCTGGATGATACTACTAGAAGTTGGACTCTTACATCACTTCTTATCAGAAAATTAAATTTGAACCTCTGTGCTAATGTTATTTGATTTTCTTGTCATAAAGGTACAATTTTGCTTTAATTCAGAGGGAATTACTCCAAAACTTGTAGGAATGAAGTTGGTTAAGAAGAATGTGGCAAAGATGAGAAGAAACTGTATTGGTTAACTGTAATTGGAATATTTCACTATAAATAAATTAAATATTTGGAAGTACTCTGCATTCTATTATATTTATGTGATTTTATTTATTATATTTACCTGACAGAAAATACCTTTGTTTTCCTTCTTGGGAATTTCAATTCTTGCAGCCTCTCCATAAATGCAGATAATCATACAACTTTCAGATTGTCACTCATCTTTGTTTTCAGATGTCCTTATGCAGTTGAATATCTCTTTAACTCTCACAAATTATTGAGAATGCTTCAGCTGATATGGGGTGTGAATCTGGAACATTGCCTCATCAAAGAGAGTGAACATCTTGCTAAATTCCCCACCCCCATCCCATTCTTAATTGCATATAATTATACTTTTTACTGTTTTCTCTATTTTACAGTTGGTAACTATGTTCCTTCCCTTATATTTGTTTATTGCTTCATGGACAGAACCAAAGAAGACATGAAACATGTGTTTTATATATACATCTGTCTTTGCCTTTTGATAGGCCGTGGCAAATGAGTCTGGACTGAACTTCATATCTGTGAAAGGTCCTGAGCTGCTAAATATGGTATGGGCTGATAATTGTGCTGTTGTTATTTGTGGAATTCTTGTCCAAAATGTGGGTCAAGCAAAATTCCTGATAATTACACAACTGATACTGGTGCAACTGAAGTTGCATCATTCAACCTCTGCTCTATGTTTTTAGCAGTGAAGTTGTTCATATGAAAAAGAAAAAGTCATCTGTGTAGTTTAGGTGTACAGTTTAGTTTAAATTACCTGGCAGATGGAGCCTTCTTGACTGGAGTAGGATTTCTAAATGGCCAGCTACATGCATCATTGCTTAAAAGCAAGAGGAAGATCAGGAAGAAGGTGATAGAGGTAGATCAGGGAAAAGAACAATTGACTATCAGTAACTGCAAATCAGCAGTTTTCACTAAGCAAAATAAAATTTTCAACTTTCAAGTTGGAACTGTGTTTTGCCAGTCATTTTAGCTTCTTAATGGCACATTGGAACCTTGGAAAATGATACGGGTGTTTTAGCTGATCAAAGTGATTTTTGAAAGATTTTAAACTTAACAGATAAAAATGCTGTAGTCTGAGTTTTTGAAGCACTGGACTTAGAAGTGTTGTGAGGTAACTTCAGTCCCTTTCAGAGTTAAGGAAATGCTGAGCGACTGCTGCAGCCCAGGTCTCGGAAGACCATGGCAGTTGCCTGTTTATCATTAATGTGGAAGCTGAAATCAGCAGACTGGCTTTAATTGTTCTCTTCCCAAACATTTTTTGTGTGTACTTCAAGTACTGATACAGGCAGGAAATAGAACACTTAAGTTAATGAGGAGCCATACTTCCTTGTGGAGCAAATGTCTGGCTGTGATTAAGAAATTATGTTAAGACATAAATTGTATCAAAACCTCTTTGTTTGGAAAGAAAATGAAGTGTTTGCATTTACAGCTTAGTGGCCCATGGCCCTGCAATTCAAAGTGGAATTCTGTCTGACTTTTCAGTTCCTTACTGCCAAGCCCCTGTCTTCAGGCAACTATCTATGTGAACTTCAGATGTTCATTGTGGTCACGTTGCTTGCTGGGTGGGTTTGTGAACAGTTGAACAACAGGGTCCTCAATTAAGACTGTATTTGTTAATTCTCATCACCTGAATGATGGCAAGTTAGATTTATTCCCCAGAAAGTAGGAATTCTGTTAAACTCTGAATGTACTGCAAACTGTCTTAAGTGAACTAGTGACAAGAAGTTCCTGTGTAGGTCTTGATCAGTAAGGAAATAGAGGTAACAGACTGTTCCCAGAAGTACACTGGTTAGCAGGTTGTACTTACCCTTGCAAAGTACCTCAAATAGTGTTTAAAACTATGATTATTTCTTTTTCCAAGCAAAATCTTCTTGTCTTATGCTGTTTCAATGTCATTTGTCTTTGTTTTTTAGTATGTTGGTGAAAGTGAACGTGCTGTACGTCAAGTATTCCAGCGTGCCAGGAATTCAGCCCCTTGTGTTATATTTTTTGATGAAGTTGATGCTTTGTGCCCTCGGAGGTCGGACCGTGAAGTGAGTCTGTCTGAAAATATCCCCATAAATAAATAATCTTACATAAAGCTTTTGTGACATTGTGCTGGCAACAAAAGTACCCAGAAGGGTACAATGTTCACTGTCTCCTGACAAAAGCAGTCCATTAGGCTTTCTCTCATTTGAGGCAAATATGTTGGTCAAGTTTTATAAAGCTTAATACTTCTTTTAGTATGCATATATAGAAAAAAATATTCGGAGAAATTCAGATTCAGCTTTTGAGTTTGGTTATAGGTTGTCATAACTACAGAGTTAACATTTAACCCTGAGTAGCTCACCTCTGTGGTTTCAGAGGTTTAAATATATGATAACTTTTTTTTCCCCTCAAAAAAATGAATATTGAGAAATTTTAGATCTTGTCAAGGTAAATGTCAGAAGAATTAGTATAAATATTTATATCTGAGTCTCTTAGTTTTAATGGGAAATAAAAGATTTGCCACATAATAAAATGTGTGGTAGGTATATAGATAACATGAATTTGGGATAGAAACGTGCAAAGAATGTGACAGTAGAAATCCAGAATGCTGCTAAAATGAAAATGTGAAAAAGAATGTTTGAGTAGTATTTCAGTGCAGGAGCTTGTAGATCTTCTGTTTCTTTTACTTTGAAATATTCACATTCCCAGTGTTTCCTTGGTTTTGTTGACAAATTTCTCCTTTTACAGTCAGGAGCCAGTGTCCGAGTGGTTAACCAGCTGCTCACAGAGATGGATGGTCTGGAGAATCGTCAGCAGGTTTTCATTATGGCTGCCACAAACAGGCCAGGTAAGGACCCAAAAATCATAAACCGGAAATCAGACATTTGTGGTTCTCTTCTAATGAATCATGTGTCCTTAAATATTCTGTAACTAACCTTGTTCTGTATTTAAAATTACAGCGTCTCCTCACATCCAAACCTTTTTTGATAGCTAATCTGTTCCCCATTCTTGTGGCAATGTGAGATGCAGCAACCTCTTTAAAATGTGTCTATCTTGAATTATATTTTTTTGGCTTGAGAGATTTGTCTCATGTTAAATCATTTTTCCATTTGCTTATCTCTTACTTCCTGGGCTTCATGTTCTGAACTAGGTTCCCTCAGGCTGAAGTGATTCTCCTGTTTCCTCATGTTCTGTCAAGCTTTGATATTGACAGCTGTCTGTCTCGGTAAAACCATACAGGTGTGGGTACCAGAATTTTGGAAAGAGCTTTTACACCTAGGACATGTATTTGGCAAATTACTAGTAACAATGAGGCATAATTGTTTCATACCTTCATGTATTATGTAAGGACATAATGTAGAATTGTGCTGAGAAATGGCTTAACAGGGAAAATTAAGTAGCATAGCTACTTTGGATATTAATTGAAAGATGACAAAGTTCAAATACTTGTAAGGTTGCTTGGGTTCTGTAAATTAAGGAAAATTTTCTCTGGAATCACCTAAAATAAGCACCTGTGAGGCACTTTTGGTTTTTCCAATGGTCAAATGCTTCAAAGATTTTGAGGAAATTTTTCTTGTCTCTAATTCTTTGCACCGTGACAGACTCTCAGGCCTTCTACATGGTGAAGTATAAGCAGTAGATGCTTTAATTTGTATCTGCTTCTACAAATTCTTTGATTTAAAGTGTTACATTTTCCTGGCACGAGCTTGATGGTCCTGACCTGTCTAATCCAATGTAGAAAAGAGAGTAAGGTTATACAAAGTAGCTCATGTGTATGTAGATACTGTTGGATGTACCCAGGGTGTTCGAGTGTCAGCAAGTTGCCTTAGGTACACCAGTGCAAGCATTTGTATCAAACAGCCTTATTAGTGTTTCTCAAGGGCTAATTACTGACTCATCATTATCTCTGACTGGTAACTTGGGCTGGGAATTCCAACACTTGAGGAAACATCCAGCTTGGCTTCCTGCAGTGCCACCTCAACAGGTTCTACATGGGGTCAATACTGTTAGGGACAGTGTGTGTACACGGTACTATTCTGAGCTAATGGTTCCTCTCTTGAAGGCAGCTGAGGGCAAGCAGCTTTACAAGGGCCTGTTTAGAGTAAATGTTGCTCAGAAATTAAGGTGTGAATGCTTGTGTGGCAGGCTTGTCCTGATTACCTAATTTAGCTTTACACTGATTCAGTACTTGTTTATGGGTCTCATTTTCATGTGTATGTGAAATATATATCTGTGCCATTGTTAACTCCTCCCTCTATAAGCTTTAGACTGGATGCAGTTTCACCATTACATGGTACAAAGTACCTCTGGAATGGTTGGTACAAAGTACCATGGTACAAAGTACCTCTGGAATGGTTTGGGGATTTTTTTATTTTAATTTTTATCTCAGTTTTAAAAAGTCACTGTTACCTTGTTTCATTATAGTGGCAAATGTACTGTTTTACCGTACAGGAATAGTTAAAATGACAAAACTTTCCTGAGCAATGAGGTTTGAGGTAATATTGGGGGGCAGCTGAGAAATGTGTAAGGCCTGAAATCAGCAGTGTATTACTAGACTGTGACATCGATGAAAAAAGTGATTTTGATGTAAAAATGCCAAACATAAAGAAAATGCAAAGGCAGGGATAACTAATATAGTAATGAATTTGTAGGGTATAAATGCATCCGCAAATTCTGTAAATGGAAATTAATTGTATCTTGGTAAATGAGTTGTTTTGCCAACATGATAAAATAACTTTTTTTTGAATGACCAAGCTTGGCACATTCAGTTCTGCTAGAGCAGGCTGTTATCTATGCAGTTTGCAAAGGATGAATCCCTTGTTTCAGAAGGACATCATCTGTGTGTATAAATAACATTTTGGATAGGTTTAGACCACAAACTTTTGCTATGCTATATGCATTTGTCGGTGTGAGGAAACAGTTTCCAATTGATGCAGCTTGTATCAGAACTGTTTTTACTGAAATTGGGGTTAAATTGGGGAAACTGATTTTTCTCTTGCATAGTTTTTCACCATTTATGGGGCTTAGGAAGAGGCAGTGCTCTTCAAATTAAATTTTGTTAGTATGGTCTGAGTAGTTAATAGGAGCACACTGCAGGCAGAGAGCAGTGCTAGTAAAGCACTCTTACTGGCCTAAGAATGAAATGTCCAAGTAGAGACCTGTAGGACAAACATAGCTTATACTGGCTACTCTATTTAAATGGTTCCGACAAGCAATAAAAGTTATGGTGCCTGAAAAAGTCTTTTAAGTCTGACATATGTATGAAAGATTTTTTGTCATAGTTATGGTGAGTGGAGGTGCTGCAGGAGCGGTTGTGTAACATAAATCCAAAAAATACATGAGTCCCAGAAGAACTTCCTGTAATCTTTTTTCTTTATAAAAGCTTTTAAGGACTCAGAAGGTTCTAATTCCTATGTTGCCAAAAGGGTAGGCACAATAGATTGGTTCCTTTGTTTATCATGTGCAATCTCCACTTGGTTATTCCCATTCTGGGAGTGCTATAATAAGCTTTTGATGTGCCCTAAAAAGGAGGATATTTTAATGTCTTTTACACTTAGTGACTTTGAGCATCCTCTGCAGATCTTTCTTGACTCCTGCTAAATTACCAGGGATGCAGTCGATATTCCCAGCTCAGTCTCTTTCTGCCTAAGTGCAGAACCAATGTAAAACTTTGTCTGAAGGGGACTAAACTTTCAAAGCACTCAATGTCATTAGAGTGGGGGGGAAAAAAAGAGTCATAATTGTCATGTCCTCTTAGAACCTTTATGGGTCAGAATAATTATATTATTTTATAGTACTTCCTTCAAAGTTTTGAGATTAAATACTAAAAAACCATCAAGCACTACTATTAACTAAGATCTGTAATTTCCCACAAATTTCTAGTTACCAGTGTGAATTTCTAGAGCTCTTTGCTTGAACCACATGTTTTGAAACACAATAGAAAAGGAATCTTCAGTCTTTGACAATAGTTATAGTTTTGGTCTGGGCATTGTTTGTTATGTTTTTACCTGTTTATACATGTTGCAGAATTGAAGGCAAGATAAGATCTAAGAAAAGCACTTAATGCATGAGGCGTGGAACAATTTCTTTTATAATTGTTCTAATTCACAAAAATTATATTTCTGTGTTTCAGCAGCCCTTGAATGTTATGCATCTTTTGCAGTAACTTCAGTGGTTAACTGCAGCGTTCATCTGGAGTCTCAGAAACCTTTCAGGGCTTCTGAGTCTGTGTTTCAGAACTCCATGAATGTGAGGGCCTACATCTTGTACGCTTCAAATATAATTTTAAAAGCTGTAGTGAGTATAGGAGAAGTTTGGACTCAGTTCAACAGTTGTCATTGCTGGTATGTGCTGAACTTCTGTAAACATTCTTGACTCCTGTACAGTTGAGATAAGATATGAATAATCGACTGGAAATGAGTGTGAGACTAATAGATTCTATTTTAGGACATAGAATGCCACAGTATAGGGATTCATGCAAAGATACTTTCAGTAGAATTTAATGATTCTGTAAAATTTTGCATTAGTTTGAAGAGCAGTGTAGCAAATGAAATACTACATAAATCTCTAGAGGTTAGTGCCTGTTCTAACATTTAAAAGCAAAGCAAGGAATGGATGTACTCTAAATGTCTTCTTATGTAATTTTGCCACATTATTTGGAAAATGATACTACTGTCTTCTAGTGACATAGCACTATTGACCACATCAGAAAGACAGAAAATTATTAACTGGACATTTCTCTTAATAGAAGTGTGTTTTCTCTGTGAGATAATTTTTCCAGACAGCTGGAAAAGGAGTGCTGTGTTTTTTTGTGTCTCCATGCTTCACTTTCCTTCCTGCTTGAGAGATCATAATAGACTTTGAAAGAGGCATCTATAGTAACTACCTTAATCTCATTAAAATATTAAATGTATCTACAATTAGTTGACTCTCTTCTGTTTAGATAAGTTTTGAGATAATGGATATGGAGAGAGTGTTATGATTTATCAGAATGGAATGCTTTGAAATTCTTAAAAGGGGAACATTATTGATTTCTTTTCAAAGGTATAAAGTGCATTTAATGAGTGAATTTGACCAATGAGTAAATAGTATTTGACTGGGTTGAGTGACTTGAATTTTCAAAAACTTCAGGCCCAGGTTTGCACCAGAAGACTGAAGTGAATTGATTCATATGGAAATGGGGAGTGTAGAGCTGTGTTTTAAACTTTAGTGTGGTCTTCTTACTGTAAACCACCATTACTGCAGCTTGTCTAGATAGTGAGTTGTGGTGACTCTTTGAATGCATCAATGTAATCCCTTCCATACAAATAGATGATGCATCTTTAGACTGTGTCAGTGACTTCATGTCATTGGACAAATAGCATGGCAAGTACCATGTACTCGGCATGAAAAATGGAAACAGTATTTTAGAGTTTTAGACTTGGGAAATTATCAAGTGCATGGTGTTGTAATGCAATCCCTATTGAAATTATTTGTTTTGGTGTTTGTAATTGATCTGTTGAGTGAACGTTGTCATCTCATATTAATAATGTGACAAGACATTCCCTCCACAGAGACACAAAACCAGGGAAGTGCACTTGTGCCAAAAGCAAGAGAAAGTGTCATACAGAACTGTGCAAAGACATATAAGTAACATGTTTTTATCTGGGCCTGCCATGGCAATGATTCTGTTTAACTCCTGTTTTGTCTGGTCTGCACTAAATTAACACACCATTTTTTTTCACCATTCTCATTGCATTTGCAATAGCATAAGCGAGAGAGTAACTTGAGCAAAACTGTGAGCATCTTTAACAAGTGAATCAAGACTATATTGTGGTAGGATCAGGTAGCTGGAGTCTTGACAGAGTTAAGCAAACTTCTTTTATTTCCAGAAAAGGGATAGCTGTGCTTCCATGCTACTGCTGTAAGGTTTGTGGTGGTTTTTTTTCTTTTAAACATCTGTACAGCAAGGATTAACAGTTTCACTTTCCCCAGCTCTTCACCTTTAATATACACAAATGCATATAGTTTGTCTGTTAGCCACATTTTGTCAAGAGGGTATAACGAATATAAGGGCGTTGGCAGCTTCATTGGTGTCCTTGATAATTTACATCTTAAGACTTAGGTGTAACTATCAACTGGTACTTTTGGTTAAGACTCATGCAATAGCTACCTCACACAGCCATATAATTTGCCTATTTAAAGAGCAGTCTGTTATAGTAAAAGCACAATTGTCTTTAAATTGTCTTTATATCTTCTGTGGGTGCTTTTGTGACTTTGCTGTTACATTACTGTAGCATGTATCACCCAATCATAGTATCATTTAGATTGGAAAAGACCTTTAAGATTGAGTCCAACCATTAACCCAGCACTGCCAAGGCTACCAGTAAACCATGTCCCTGAGCACCACATCTACACAGCTTTTAAATACCTCCAGGGATGGTGACTCAATCAAATTTCTTACTAAAATAGAACAGTTAGTATCATTATTGGGTTTTGGTAGATGGGGAAATAGGGCATCAAGAAACATTTAGAAACATCATGCAGACAGTTTGTGCTGAAATACAGACAGGAATTGAGGCCTTTCCCAGGTTATACACCCTGTTTGGATCTTTTGCTGTACCAATTGTCAGTATTTGTATCCTGACTTACTGTTTGTGGACATTCAGTATTGAAGCCTGTGTTGCTAAAAGACATTTCTATTATATTTGAGCTTTGAATTGTTTTCTAGAAACATTTGTGATAATTTTATCACAAAATAAATACAACATTTAAAAAATAATGTTTCTTACTTCTCCACACATAGATTTGGAGTCTGTTGTTCTTCCTGGGAAACAAATTCTGTTCTTTGCAGATGTATTTTGTGTTTTCATGGCTTTTCAATTTTACCATTCAGGAAACCAATATCGTAGTAGAAATGCAAATAACCAGTAAAATTAAGTTTACATATGGATGGTTGTGATTGGCCCTGCATACTTGTTATTCTTAATTTATCACTGTCCCTTTCAAGCAGATTTGCAATACAGGTAGAGTTCCTTCCAACAGAACAAACCGTTATGAATTAATGTGGAATTGCTAAACAAAAATGTTCTAGTTCTGTGTTGCAAAACACAGAGTTGTCTTCATTTGTGATGAGATGAAACTGGTATTTATAAGCCACTGTTGAGCAGATGCAGCTTATCTGTACTGGGTAGTAGAGACTCCTACTTGATAGAGATGAAACTACTTCAGTCAGCAACATTAATGCTCAGAGATTCTCATCATGGCGCAGAAGCTTCTTTGAATTTTGGTACAAGTATGCATGTATTCCTTCTCATGTGTAGACTTTTCTAAGGGTGTGTCTGTCTCATTTATGGATTTTTTTCTTCTTTTCCCCTCCCTAAGATATAATTGATCCAGCTATCCTGCGTCCTGGTAGACTGGATAAAACACTCTACGTGGGTTTGCCACCACCTGAAGACCGACTTGCTATTTTAAAGACCATCACCAAAGTGAGTATTTGGAAACAAATCCCTTATCTTCAAGCTTGGTAGAATGATGTAAGACAAATTAAATTTTACTAAGAACTGCAGGATCTTGTGTCATGAAACACTTTCAGGGTATTACACGAGATCAGAAAAATAAACCATCAGGCTATCTGCTGTTAAGTTCCCTCTGAGACTGCAAGGGGTCAGTAAACCTTGAGTAAAGCAAACCTGTTAAACACAGAAGCTGCTGCCTTTTTCATCACAGTTTGAACAGATTTAATTAGAAGATTCCTATCTGTGTGAGTAATGGGCCTAGAAGCGTTTTGTAAGCTTTTTTTGGGGGGTTCCAGACATTCACCAGAATGATTCACAAGCTCCAGCTGTACTTGCTCAACAGTAATTGTGACACTTAATTGCCTTTAGGATTAAAGGAAGTTTGTGATGATAGAGGTTTGGGTTAAAGTAAATGTGAAAATGTAAAGTACATGTCTTCACGGGCTTTACCTGTGGGTAATGGCACAATCAGCCACTTCAGAGATTTGGTTGAGTAGAATTCTGTGTGAGTATTTCTCTGTGGTACAGCAGTAATCAAGGCCTTATAAAAGAACATACAAAGCATTATGAATTACTTGGATGTTTCCTACTTTTTCCAGTAGCTCAACTTTTATTGCAAGCAGATGTTCTATCAGATATTTTTTTGAGCTGCAAAGGAGATGAAATCTCCACTATTGAGAAAAGATCACACTGTATTATGAAATGTGTGGCAAGAACTGTTTATTAAATTTGTAAAAAAGATATTCCAGAATTGTGTAAGCTTAAAATTGTGGTGTAAGCAATAGTTGATTCATAATTCAGAAAGCGAAAACTCATTCAAGCATGTTCTTTCATGCCAAAATGGATGTTCAAAAGTCATACTCATTACAGATTCAGGATGTTAGACTTTCCTTCATTTGTTCTGTGCATTACTTCATGGATGAAAAATGCCCCCATTTGCTGTTAGCAGTAGATCAGTTTATTGTTTGAGTTTTATAAAACCATTTCAGTTAAAACTTTTTACAACCCTGTTGTTAAAGATGATTGCTGTTTAAAAGATCAAGAGTGAAATTGAGTGTAACATCCATGAATCATTTTTCAAACACACTGTAAGGAATTATGATTTTTCTTTTACCGAATTCATTTTTAAAGAGAATTCAAAGTGTTCATTAAAAACTGGGCTTGTATGATTGTTGTGACTTAATACAGACAGCCTGGCTCTTCTGGAAGTAGGTAGTAAGGGTTTAGACACTGGAGTGTCTAAACAGAACGGAAGGATTCTGGTACAGAATTTACATCTGTTCTGTTTTTTAACATAACAGCTGTTGAGCCTTCCTCTACCTAATTTTTTCTGGACAATATTTGGAGGTTTGTAACTATCTCAAGTGCTGTCACTGTAGTTAGTTGGTGTAAGGAAATAGCACAGTGAAGCTTGGTGGGAGGAGGGAAAGGTGGTATTAAACAAAACTAATTTCTATCACTTGCTGGCACTCACAGCTACATAGAGTCACCAGGATACATGCATCCACCTGGTAGGGCCAGAATCACTTGTGTGCAACATTAAGGATAAGGAACTCAGTCTTGAGTCTCCATCTTTTGGCTTCCTCTTGACTGGCAATGACAAACAGGTTGTTAGAGAGAACTGTTTTCAGTTTCCCTTTAAGAATCAAACACTTTAGAATTGTGCTTACTTCAGCTGCCACAAATCTTGGGCGAGGTTGCTGAAAAGTGTCTTTGCTCCCTCATCCTGGGAATCTTTGTGCCTACAGTCTTGTCTTCCTCTTGGATAACACCAAGAGGAGTGGCACATAGGATGTGGTAACCTTGTTATTATCCTGTTGCCAGAATATTTTTTGTGTTCTGCTGACAAATTATCTTTGATGTGGCCTTACCTGCTTGTGGGTCTTCTTGTGATAAAAGCAATACGTTGCATAGTGTTTACCAGCTTGGTTTCTGTGGATCCTGTCACTGGTTATCATATTTGTTATCATGCATTTTGGGATGCAAGATGCTTCCAAGCATTCTAAATTCTTACTCGTCTGAAAATTATGGTTACAAATCTTTGTAGCGAACAAGTGTTAAATCTTTTTTAAAATGTATGGGAGTTATCCAAAAGAAGAACATGGAATAGGTGAATGTGTTAAATTATTTGAAATACTTGAATTTTTTTGTTCAGTTTCATCCAGGGTAAGGAAATTTGAAAAATGTGAGTATATGCTTGCTCAAGGATAAAGAAAACAAAATGTTTGGTGTAGATGTGAGTGGCTTCTGGATTATAGTATGCATTCCCAACAGTCCCCAGGGAATAAATGCACAGGATGTGGATACTGACAAGTGTTGCTGAATGAAAACACGGGTGCTTACAAAGGCAACATGAGGAGTAGAAAAGGGACTTAGGGGGAAGAATAGGTTGTCAGGAAGACAGACAGCCTGAATGTAGGTTGAAGCTTTGTTGTGAAAGAGTTTTATTTCAGTTAACATGTACAAAACAGTCATTTCAAATTGGATGCTAATTATGCAAGAAAAGCATGTCTTCACATGTTTCTGTTACTAGTGTACTTTACATTCCTGCATTAAGCTTCTCTGGTGAACAAACTGCTGAGCTTGTCACTAGGATAGGCAGAGCAAAAACTACCCAGCGTATGTTGTTCCTCAAAGCACTAGTTATGACAATTCTTTTTAGCAGAGAAGGTGTCTCTCTGGCTTTCAGTCTTGTACAACAATTGCTAAAGTATCCCATATGAAATTGCATGAGGCTTCCTTGTTTCAAGGTTAAAGTCTCTCAAGTTGTTTCAAAATCAAGCTGTTCCTTTGTCTTTCTGTTGTGTTGGGATGTTACTCTACCAAAGATTCATTCAAGAGTGCTTCCTTACTCTGCTTAGTCCTTGGCTGTTCTACTGTCTGTTAGGTATTCAAGGGTTTTAACTTGCCAGCTACTGTATTTTTTTTTCTCTTTAAAGTATTCTAGGTATGTGGTATTTTAGTTCCTCTGAAGAAGCCAGAAAATAACTGTATGAATTTGTGTTTTTCTGTCAAGTTAATTTCTGGCAGAACTTTATCAGTTGTATCAAAAAAGTGTTCTTTCCTGTCAAAACTCAGATATTCGATCCAAGATACATCTAGAATCTCTGTACTATCATGATACTACTTTACTGTTGTCTAAGGGTAATAGGGAGATCTCCAGGCTTAGTGTCTGGAAATTTTATTACCTAGTTTCAAGCACAGTTTATAACGTTATTCAATATTTTTTGCAGCTGGAGATGCAAAAATAACAAATGAAACCACTCTTCGGATCTTTGTAGAGGAAGCACTAATAATATGGAAGAGTAGTGTCCAAAAATCTACACTATACATAAACTTTTACGAAATCCAGGATGGACAACTTCTAAGTTTGAAAATTTATGTCTAAAACATAAAAGATACACAATTGGTTTAGTCTTAATGGTGATAAGACAAAATCCACATGCTTATTGCATGGCTATTTCATTTCAACACATAGTAAAACTAGAGGAAGTTCAGCTGAACAATGCTGCTGATGCAACCAGCTATTATTAAAGGCATGTCCACATAGGAACAGTGTCGGTATTACAATGTCCTGTGACAGGCTGGCCATCATTTCCTTAGAGAAAGTCTAACCTGTTGGTGGGAAATTAAAATCTAGCATTGCTTACTGTTTCATAATGAAATGGTTTTAAGGCTGGTTATACTTGTTGTGAGTTTGAGATTAATAATATTTGTGGATATTTCAGGAAGTTTGTCGGACCCCCCCATATGATTCCTGATCAATGAAACTTAATCACTTCAGGGATGGCATGTATAAAAAATAATATTTTCTTACCTTCCTCTTTCTTACATCAACTCCTTCAGGATGGCACCAGGCCTCCACTAGACAGGGATGTAAGCCTGGAAGAAATTGCTTACAGTCAACATTGTGATTGTTACACGTGAGTATCTTCTAGTTTTGACTTTGATATTTAATGTGTCATGCCAGCAGTCTTCTGATATGTGAAGTGTGTTACGTTGTTATTATTAAGGTCTCTTAACTTTTGGGGTTTATGAGCCTTTTCCCTTAGGCTATTTTTCTTACTTTCACTTATGCTTTTTTCCAAGGAGTCAGTATAAATATATGGATGCTAAAGTCTTTTTCATCTGGAATAGGTCTCTTCATGTAAACACAGATCAGTAGAAGCCTCTTGGTTTTGCTTGGGTTTATTTTATAATTCTTACATAATCTGAGGATAAAAGACCCCTGTAAGTTGTGGACTATATACGATGTTGATGAAAGCAAATTTGTTAAACAACCATAACCAACTGGTTCCATCACACAGTTGAAAGCAATCTGTTTGACAAAGTCATAAGTGCCCATTCCAACTTGTGCTTTGGAATAGCAAGGTGTGGTTTTAGGGAAAGCTTGATGGGCTGTATCTGCCAGAATAATGTGCAATTACATTCTATAAAACTTGAAAAAGCTTTAACCTATTCAATGATTAAGTAACACCTAATGATTTTCTGGAGTTCACAAGAGGGAATTTAATTTTTTTGGTCCAGTGGGGGGGAGATTTTGGGGTGATGTTGTCGGGTTTTCGGTTTTGGTATTGGGGTTGCTTTTTTTTTAATGTTTCAGTTCATTTGTGTTTTGAGGGGTTTTTTGTGGGTGGCTTTTGATTTCTTTGGTTTGGGGTTTTTTTTGGTCTGGTTGGGTTGTGGGTTTGTTTGGTTTTTTTAAAACAGCTGTATTCCTAGCATCCACAAAGGAAGCATGGGGAGTTAATTGTGGAAGTGATTTTTAGTTCAGTGACATTCACCATTTTAAAAGCTTGTGAAAAGTTCAACAGCTTTCCAGCTGTTCCAGTTCCAGGAAACTGGAAACAAATACTTAGACTGATCTGACCATGTTTTGTGGATAGTATTATTTTAAGAGCATATTAACTTTACTGTTGATGCAGCTTTGAGCAATAGAACTCCCTTTTGTAACTGTGGTTTCATTTGAATCTTTCATAAGATTGATTAAAAATAAAATAAAATCGTTGTGTTCCCACCAAGTGGCACAATATTAGTCAATCCTTTAGCAATTTTAAAGATGCTGAATGGGATTTTTGCCTCTTCTCTTGCTTCTCATTTATTAGATCTTAAGCTGTAGCTAAAATCTGGAGGCTGTCAGGTCTTCTAATGACTGGGTAGTCTTCAGGCCTCTTTCCGATGTTCTTAAGATGAAACTTTGTGACAGCACCAGGATTTTTTCCCCATCGTTTTTAGTGTCTTGCCTTTCTACATGCCATCAGCAAAAGACAAGAGAAATTTATCCTAAATCAACCTATTCTGTTTGCATCTGTAGAGGGGCAGACCTTAATGCTCTAGTGCGTGAGGCTTCAATTTGTGCCTTGAGACAAGAAATGGCCCTGCAGACTACTCAAAGCAAGACAGGTAAGAAAGCTATTCAAATAACTTAACTGAACAGTGATGAGATAAATGGAATGGAATGTATTTAAAGTAGTTCAAGACAAGCATGAAGATGTGCATGCTGTACATAACTGATGATTCTCAGCCAAACAAAAGGCAGATTTGTTTGCAGAACACATCTTCAAAGCAGAGGTAGGGGAGAGTATAGAAAAATGCTGGAGGTTCAGCATACATTAATTTTTTTCTAAAAGAATTGAGCCTGAAAGGAAAGTTTATGTTAAATGGTAGTATAAACTGACAATCTATTTACTAGACTGATTACCTCTGGCAAATTTCCACATCACAGTTAAAGACTAATTGTACTGATGTATTGGTAGATTTGAGGATGGTTGTAAACTGCACAAATACTGATAGCTTACCTTTGGCACACAGATGTATTGTGTAACTTAATACATGCTTCTAGCAGTAATGGAGCTAGGAAAATCTGAGTGCCACTTTTGATCTTTGGTGTTTAGCTCATCAGTGGCTCTTGCCAGGACTTCAGCAGGGAGTTATAAAATGGTTCAAGTACAATGTCTGCCCTTTCATTATGTCTCTGCACTTCTGTTTTAAGTTGTATTTTCCTGGGATTTTTTTTAAAATTATAGATTGAAACTTTTATATAAAACGCCTGCCTGTCTAGATTTGTTCCAGTAATTTTGTTTGTTATTTTACCCTTAAGTCAAAATGGAAAGCTAAGATGAAACTGTGACTTTTCAGATTATGTCCTTGGAAAATATATTAGGCTTTCTGATGCCCCTGATTTCTAAGAACCATGCTGGAATTTTAATAGCTTTGAATCATTCTTTTTGATCTAGTACATATCCAGTCTTGTCGGGCTTTTAACAGTAGGTTAACAGAGCAGAATGTTTGTATTTCTTGTTTTGAGGCAATGAGCATGTTCATTTGGCAGCGGAGGGAACCCCAAGCTATAAAAACCTTCACTGTTGCATGTCTTGGTTACCCATGTTGCTTGCTGTTGATGGACAAAGCTCTTGATTTGAGATGGAAATTTCTGAGTTTATCCTGTTCATTTTTATAATTATTCAGAATACAGCAGGTTTTATTTCAAGATGTTCTTAACTTGAATTCAGCATTCACAGCTGGGATTGCAGCCTGAGCACTTATTGGATGGATGTGTAGGCAGCCAGCAAGTCCATAATATATGCATAGCTTGATCTGCATGTTTAGAGCAGCTGCTTGTTTGGAACATCCTTGGATTTCCAAGCTGTCAGTCCTGGTGGGTATGAAAGTGTGTAAACTGGTTTCTGATTTCAGACCTTGTTCATGTTTATCTTTCTGGGCTGCATCCAAAGCAGTGTGACCAGGGTGGTTCTGTCCCTCTACTCTGGTGACACCCCACCTGGAGTGCTGCCTTCAGCTCTGGGGTCCTCAGCAGAAGCAGCTTTCCAGTTCCTGAAGGTAGCCTACAAGAAAGATGGAGAGGGACTTTTTATGAGGGCCTGTAGTGACAGGACAAAGGGCAATGGATTCAAACTGAAAGCAGGTTTACATTAGGTATTAGCAGGAAGTGCTGTGAGGGTGGTGAGGCACTGGAACAGGTTGTCCAGAGAAGTTTTGGATGTGTCATTGCTGGAAGTGTTCAAGGCCAGGCTGGATGGAGCTCTGAGAAACCTGGTCTAGTGAAAAGTGTCCCTGCCTAGGGCAGGGGAGGTTGGGGCTAGATAATCTTTAGTGTCCCTTCAAACCCAAACCATTCTGTGGTCTTCAGAAGGATGGTGTGTGTACACAGACTGGTGAATTTATTTCTTTAGTGTTATGACAGGACATGCACAACTGATTCCCCTCCCACTCTCAGTGCTTGACTGAGATGGGTGCTCGTCAGTCAGTGCTTTTGGAATCACAGCTGCTCCTTTCTGTTCTGAAGAAACTCTGTTGCAACTTCTTGTTATGCCTGATCTTTTCCCTCTGGAATAAATGCAGGGGTGTGGTTTTTTAAAACACTGAGCAGTGGTTTGCTTGAAGGTAATTTTGAAAAGTGAAATGGAAAGGTATCCTTTTTATTTCTTAGAAGAATTCATAAATTCTACTTCCAATTTGAACAGGCCTAGTTGATCTGATAATGTTAGTCCACTGCAGTCTGAGAGCTGCCAGATACTGCAGTTTGTCTAGGGGAAGGAAGGGGACTCCTAACAGAAATTGGGCAGATTTTCATTTTATGAGGTCCCTCTGGAGTTCATGGTCATTGGCCCAGCATTTCATAGTATGTTGGGGGCTTGGAAGAGGTCATCTAGTCCCTGACGCCCTGGGCAGGGACACCTCCCACTAGACCATGTTGCTCAGACCTTTATCCAGCCTGACTTTGAACACTGCCAGGGCTGGGACATCCACACCCTCCCTGGGCAATCTGCGTTTGACTGCTGAGAAGAGTTCACTACTGTCAGCAAACTTGGAGTTTCACTTCTGCCTCCCTTTTCCAAACCACTGATGAAAATGGTGCATAAAACTGAATTAAGTACCAATGCCAGAGCGTGACCTACTGTACTGCAGCAGTGCTGCAGTTTCTGAGACAAGTTCCTTCAGAAGCTTTGGCTGAACACCATGTGGTCCTGGTAACTTACCGTTAACATCTTAACGCACCTATTTTAGCTTAATACTTCCTTTATATTTATTTCAAATAGATCTAGTTACAAAGAATGTTTAGGATATGAGAAATAAAGTAGTATAATAATACAGTCATGAGAGATTCTCATACCCTATTTCAGCTACAGGGACAAATACAGAGAACTTATTGACCTTCTAAACTATGACTGTGTCCCTTTTTGTATATATTTATGAAAGACAGCCAATGGCCCCACAGCACCTGCATAGTCTGTAAATCTGATCTTAAGCAGAGAATCTATGAGACTTCTTGTTACAGCAACAAAGAGCAAGTGTGGTTTAACAAGTGAGATTAATTAAAATTTTGCATCTTTGCTGTTGATCTGAAAAGCAAGATCTGGTCCTGATTTGATACCTTCATATTAAGAGGAAAGGGAACAAGCTATCTTTCACTCACCTATGCAAATTGAAAAAAATTTCATATTTAGTGGTCTAAGTACTTACTCTTATTGTTAAAATATTATACCCAATTATATACTTCATTATTTTAATTCATCAATACAAGTGGTGTTAAATAAATAAATTAAAAAAAAATTCATACCTGCTTATTCACACTAGATGGTTTTGTCATCAGCAGTCAGGGCAAACTATGTGAATGCAAGTAGCCAAGGTATAGATTACTGACAGTTAAATTCTCTACAGGATCAAGCTTTGTGCCTGTTTTTATCACATCATAAGCATGAAGTAGCCAACTTACTTGCAATGAGAGGTGAACTACTTTGCTTAGCAGTAGGTAAAAGTATGCTTATACCTAGCCATAACTTATACTGTGAGAGTAGTATCATGGACTGTTTCACCTTGACTTTTTCTGATAACCCTGTCGTTAAAGATCTTCCTAGTTGATAAATGCTGTTTTCATCTTTCTGCCTCCCTGTAGTTGAGGCTATGCATTTTGTCACAATTTGGTTGAAAAATTACAGGCTTTAAAATGAAAGTGAATGCAAAATTAAATTCTCCATCATTTTCTGGAGTTTTGATGACTCAGTCTTAATCTCTCTTCTGTGAAGAACCCAAATTGAACTTTTTTTTACTGTAAGTAATGTTTCCTTGGAGAAATAGGTTAACATGCTGATATTTTCACTTTACATCTTCATTTATACAGGTATAACTTTATATGGTAATAGGAATCTTGAACAGGAGCTTCAGCGAAGTGAGATGAGAAAGGGCATTGAGGTTGTATGTTTAGTTCAGTGAACTTTAAGCTTAATTTTTACTTTTAAAGCAGGTAATAACTGTAGGCTCTTTGTTGTTCTGCTTTATACCCTATGCAAGTCCTCATTTTTAATTTAGTACCTTCCATGTAGTCTTTTGCTTTATCATCAGAAGATTTTTTGTTAAACTCTGACTCAAAATATATTAACCTTAACAGTTTTTTCATGTTGGCACATCCCATTTCACATTGAAAAGGTAGAGGCAGTGAAAGCAAAAAGTGGCTTAGTGAAATACATGAAAAACATGCACCAAACTGATTCCAAGACTGATTTTTATTTCTGTCATACCTGGCACCTGTGCATAGTGTGAGCATTGTAATGAATCTGTATAGCAGTGGCCTCTTGAGATTCTTAAGTCTAGATTAAACAAGGCACTTGCGGGTGAGAACAGAGGAATCCATGATTTATTTGAGTTATGCTTACGTTTCAACATACTAAAAACGTGTTCAAAAGGTCATTATTAGGAATAATTACTGTTCATGGCTGCATTAAGGTCAAAAAGGCAATTTGCAAAAAAATACAGGGAGTTGTAGAAGTGAAAGCTTTTAGAACTTCTGGGTAATGCCAGAGAAGGCAATGATAGGAAGTCAGTTATTTAGAAATGGAGTAGAATTGCAATTATAATGTTTTCTAGGTACTTCCTAAATAACAGGGAAGTTTAACATTAAATACGTGTAGAAAATAAAGCCCAGAACTAGAAGCACCAGAGTTTGAGGGATTCACTTCCAGAAAGGATAAGGGACTTGAATTCCAACCGGATTTGATGTAAGCTGCAATTTTGAAAATTAAATTCTCAATCTGCAGGTAGAAACACTAGTACTTAAAATAACTTTCTGAAACAAGTAAGTATTCTTTGGCTAAAGGTGCAAGGGATTGAGGGATTAAGATTTTACCTAAGATCAGACAGGAGTCTATGCAAAATATAAGAGCTGAGGTGTTCATAACACTATTGAATTAGATCTCATCCAATTGAGTAGAACATACAGTTAGTTAGGTTTTATGAATGCTGCCTTGAAATACAAGCAACAGTCACTTGCCTGCAATTTGAGTAATTTATTGTGCTTTGTTCTTTAAGGAGAAATCAAGATTTCCCGTAAACACTTCGAAGAAGCTTTTAGGAAAGTGAAGTCTTCGGTATCAAAAAAGGTAAGATAAGATTCAAGTATGTAAGACTCATTACTCTCCTGGAAAGGATAATGTTCCTATGCTGGAGACTGGTGGTAATAGTTCAGTTTGCAGTATACTTGGATGTATTTCAAACTGACACTACATGTTGCTGCATTAAACAAACCTGATGTTTTTGACAAGGTCAGAAATTAAAGCCTCCCTTTTCAGCTGCAGATGTTGCATTGCATCTGAAAAGGGAGCAGGTACATGGATTGCCATGCTATCGTGGTTATCTTTCAGGGTGGTGCCTTGGACTTCTCACTGACATTCCCAGATTGGTTATTGACCTGGCCTGAACCTCTTATGTCTGCTGAACTTTCAGTTTGAAGTCAAGGCCTTTAGACTGCACCACACCCTGCCACCACCCTCTAGATTGACGTGACATCCAAATATGTTCAACCTTTTCTGTTCATGTGGAGGACAGGAGACATAATTTTGAGATAGGGCATAAAATACACTTTATAATCTTAATTATTTCTTATCAGTCTTTTTATTATTTGCATTTGACAAGCGAGTTGTTGTAAATGTTTTCCTATGACCTGGTCTTTTTAATGACTGAAAGGAAAGCTGTTCAGTCATATTAATTGCTCTAATTTTGAAGCTTACATATATATGATTTTTTATTGCTGCAGAGCTTCTGTATATGTCTCCATGTGTTGCCAGGAGTATACTGCAGCAATATACATTAATATATTCACATTGAACACTAGCCAGAGGGAAGTTAAATAGTTAACTGTTTCCTTTCATTATTATTGTATGTTGATGGTCAGTGACCTTTTGTAAAATTGGCAAGCGATCTTTGGCCCCAAGAACCTTTAAAGATGGTGTTGGTTGTTTTGTTTCCCTCTGCTGATCACTAAGCAAAGAGCCACAAAAATGTAAAACATCTCCTTGTACAGCAGTGATTGTTAAGTATTAGAACATATTCCTTCTGGTTCTTAAGAGTTAGTTATAACTGAAATACAGGCTCTCAGACATAAGATATTTAAGCTGCCTTTGAAATGCAGAATAACATTTTTGGTTAACTATCAGTCAGGTATTTTGAAATAACTTTTGCAGTACAAGATACTTATCTCCCATTTCTAGATGCTACTTCCCATCTGCTTGACAAATTTACTTGGCAGAAACTCTACATAGCTTCCTATGCTCACTGAAGAACAATTAAAAAAAAAAGCTACATCTACTTTCTCCATCCCATGCAGATCTCTGTGTTTGGTTAACTTGACTTTGGTTTAGTTGGTTGACTCAAAACTAACCAAAACTAACCATTGTTTCTAAACTGCCTTCTATGGACAGATATCACCCTCTGAAGCCAGTTACTTCAGTGGAAGTATTCTGTTCCTCAAAACTGTCATTTTGAGTGACTATTGAAAAGGGTTAAGAAAAAATCCCAGTTGAATTGCACTAGCAAAAGCTGATCTTGTCTGTTCATTTTGGCCAAACTAGATTGGGGAGGGAAGTGTTAATTCAGCAGCTTCCATGGTAAAGAGGGCAGGATCTTCTCAGTGAAGCTACTATCTAACCCAGCATGGCAATATTAAGTAAAAACTCTGCCAAAGGCTTCTCTTAGTCACCAATGGTGTGTATCACTGGAGAACCTCATTTATAAGCTGGGGCAGTAGGGTTTGTAAATGTTTTAAAATACATCTATTGGCTCATACAGCTGGTTTGTTTCCCTTGGTTAAACAACACATATGAAGTCACTTAAATATTGTATAATTTTGTACCACTGCCTGAAGTATTTTTTCTTTTTCTTATCTTGGCACTGTTAGGATCAAATACTGTATGAAGAACTGCAGCAGTCACTGTGCAGCTGATACATTTGGACAGTGCCCAAAAGAAACTAATTCTACATTGGTGGAGAGTTTTGCCTGATTCAAGAGACATGTTGGAAAGAAGCTGTATTAAATCTCTCAACTTTTTATACTGCACCTAAAAAGGTCATCGTAACCTACTGCTCTAAACCATCCTTAATTTAACTGTCTCCAGAATAAAAGATACAATACATGCTTCCTGCTTATAACCATTTATACTTTTATAATGAATACTTTTAGTGCTAAGAGGTTAATATCCTTCTGATAGGTGTGGTGCCCTGAGTCAGTCTCTCAGACAGAGGATAACCCTTCAAAGTCTTTACACTACTCAAATAGCTGTTTTCCAGAATAAGGACTCCAAAAGAATCACTGGGGTAACAGAGCTGTGAAAGTAGCCTGGGAAAGTGCTGCACTGTGTGTTATCATAGAATTTAGCAGTTGGAATGAACCTTACAGAGCATTCAGTCCCAACACCCCCTGCCATGGGCAGGGACACCTCACTAGATCAGGTTGCTCAAGGCCTCATCCAGCCTGGCCTTGAACACCACCAGGGTTGGGGCAGCCACCACTTCCCTGGGCAAACTGTTCCAATGTCCACCCTTATAGTAAAAAACTTTTCTCATATCCAACCTCAACTTTCTCTTTCAGTTTGAACCCATTACCCCTTGTCCTATCATTGCAGTTCCTAGCAAAGAGTCCTTCTCCAGCTCCCTTGTAGGCCCTTCAGATATTGAAAAGTTGCTGAGGTCTCCATGCAGTCTTCTCCTCAGCCTGTCCTCACAGGGGAGCTGCTCCAGGCCTCCTGTCAATTCATGGCCTCCTCTGGACTTGC